CACAGCATTTATTAAACTTACAACTGTAGGACTCATCCGAACTTTATTCTTTTCTTTAATTCAAATATAAATAAACAGATAAATATATATACATACCATAATTAACATATAAATTACACTTATTGCCCTACAGCCTCCAACTTAAATAACCGTCCTTGCCAACGAACTTAACCAGGTGCCTATGCACCAAAACTTTACCCACTGGTGTCTCGCCTCCCCCCTCGTCCAAACCAAAAATTCCCATCATCTTAAATGCTCTACCACCAGCCGGCTTTTTGCTCGGTGGGCACGTCCTATTCGGTAACTTAAACGTTTACCTTACAAAGCAGGGGAGGTTGAGACCCACCATGTCCATCTCCTGACATTCCATCTGCTCCCCAACCCTGTTGGCAAGGACACGCTCCCCGCCACAAACCCAGCTGTTTTAAACCTAAAATCAGCGGGGAGCCCCACCAAAACCAACCAGGCCTGTTCCACCACTTTCTGCATGGCAAGACGAAAAAAGGTCTAGCCGGACCTTCATCACCCTGTGGCAAACCAAAATCCCCTTACCTTCAAACACCCCGAAAGGCCCTCCAATTTTGCTTCATACGGCAGCGTACCATGCACTGATTATGGGCCCGCTGCCAAAAGATACGGGAATTTACCTCCGACCAATCGGGCATATTTATTGATTCTTTTCTTTTTTTTTTTAAATCGTTTTATTTTAATTTTATTTTTTTAGAACTGCTTTGTTATAACATACGACAAGTCCTGCATAACACATCCAGAATTTATTATAATAATCTCTATAATCATAATCTCTCTTCTTTTCTGAAACCAAAACGTTAAACATAAATAACCATAACTTAACATATATAACTTAACACACAGGGTCATACAGTGAACCCAACACCACGCATCACGAAAGAACTAAAACACGCACCAATACCCTCTTAGGGTCAGACGCCAAAAAACCACCTTGGTATCGTCCCAAGCTCAATGCCCGCCAGGTGGATAACTCGAACATTAGGGACAGGTGGGACAGCTGAACCTGCTCCGGGAGGAGCCGAACACATTTCCTACCTTCGACACCAAACCAACGAACCTCCGCTTCAGAAGGCACACAACCCAAAAGCTCACCTCCCAGACGGACACCCGCATCTCACCTGGGAGTATAACCAGGAAAAGGACATCCATATATTATCTGTCTTCCAAGTGCACCCTGGGAATTGTTACTTGTACCCAAGGAACTGGTACTCATTTATCTACCTCAAAGGAATGAATAGATGAGCCGCCGCTGCTGAGAATTGAACCCGAACCCCCCCAAGGATTGAACAAATTCCACGAAACCAGCATTACTTCACCGAGACATCTCACCATACCCCCTCCCGGTTCTTTGCACCACGTGCGCTGACATACCCATTCTAAGAGCCTCCAAGGCAGCGCTAAACCGAAAGGAATGACACAAGATTCTTTGCTGACAGTCCCCAGAACCATCAGACTTGAGCGAAAGACCCAAAAATTGGGAATGGGAAAGAAAAATAAAATTAAATCACATCCGCATAACTCAAAAGAGGGCCCGTGCATACTGGGCGCAGCTCACAGTTCTCAACAAAGGAAAAGTGCAACAGCCGAACCGCCATACTCTTCCCGAAACAACATTCGACCTGGATTGTCAAACACTTATAGTGATATGATCTGCAGGGCACCGACTGGTGGCAAACAATACCCCACCACCGCATGGCCTACTAGGAATCACCAAAACCCCAACATGCAAGCCCCCAGGAGCATAGCGTCCAGGTGGCCGTGGAAACCGATCCACGGACCCATTCCATCACTCTGCCAGACTGTCCGCCGGGCAAGGCGTGCCCTCCAGATCCGCCTGCGAGGCGATTGCCCCTTAAGCAAGCGAGGGAAGGAGGCTGTCCGCCGAGTAATGGCTTGAACAACCCCCAAATTGTCGCAGTGAAACACTACCCTTAGATCCTGAAACGTGACTGCCAGACCTCCCCCACCACCAAAATGGGGAAACGCTCCAAAAAGCCCTGATTTGCTTTGTGAGCCCAGAGACATGCCAACTGTCCGGCCACACGGGAGCACACCAATTAGAGCCCAGAATGGCCCCAAACCCCACCGCGCCAGCTGCGTCCGTAAATAGGTGGAGGTCAGCGTTAGAAACCTCCGGCCTTTGCCAGCAGGACCGGCCATGATATGCAGCTAAGAAGGACTCCCAAAATCTCCCGCAGCAGCCGAGTGAGCCGAATGAAATGGCAAGGCCTGGAGACCACGGCTGTCGCCGTAGCCAGACACCGGTTAAAGACCCGCCCCACGGGCATGATCCGACAGGCAAAATTCAGCTCATCCAGGATGACTGCAGGCAGCGCAGCTGAATATCGCGCCGCCCCATGGCCAAGTAGTAGCAGGCCCCGTGTCAGATGGAGCTGACACGTGGGTCTGGTGGTGCCTCAGGCCTGAAGGATCAGGGGTCAGCCGAGCTCCGGCCCATGCTCCTGCGGCCTACAGGGGTTTGTAGCCACGTGGGAGACCCAGGAGAGACCTGACCGCGGGGGGGGGTGAACCCACACCGGCAGGCAGCCCAGGCTGGAGGGGAGCATATTGCTCCTGAAGGTGCCTGCCATCATCCAGGGCAGCAGCAGCTCTGAGGGCAGCAGGATTGAATCCACAGCCATCCCTCAAGCAGGTAAAGCATGCAGGCCCAGGACAAACAGGAGGGAGGGGGCAGGAAAAGCATGCCGGCCCCGGACAAACAGGAGGGAGGGGGCAGGAAAAGCATGCCGGCCCAGGATAAACAGGAGGGAGGGGGCAGGAAAAGCATGCCGGCCCAGGATAAACAGGAGGGAGGGGGCAGGAAAAGCATGCCGGCCCAGGATAAACAGGAGGGAGGGGGCAGGAAAAGCATGCCGGCCCAGGATAAACAGGAGGGAGGGGGCAGGAAAAGCATGCCGGCCCAGGACAAACAGGAGGGAGGGGGCAGGGAAAGCATGCCGGCCCAGGACAAACAGGAGGG